CGCAGGGGCTGGCGCCAGAGAAACGAGGCCTCCCGGTCGGCCCTCACAAGCTGGGTAGTCGAAGCCAATCTGGCGCCAATCTGGCAGGCCCAATCTGGCAAACGGGGGCAATCTGGCGAGGGGGCCAACGCGAATCCAGTCTGGCGAATAACCCAAATCATCCAGTTTGGCCGGGCCAGATTGGCCCTTGGGGCCCAATCCAATCTGACAGTCTGGCCTTCGACTACCCAGACAAGCTCCGCACCAGTGTCGAGAACGCCGACGCGATCGGCCTCGGGCAGTTCAAGCTCGTCCCACACATGCTGTGTCACGACGGGCCGAGTCTCGATGCGCTTCGCGGCGCCGGCTTCCCCGAGATCCAGTGGACCGACCCTCAGAGCGTGCTGCCGTACAGCACGCACGGCCAGTCCATGTGCACCCTGCAGTCGCTGCCCCGACCCAGCCGAGACCATCACAGCGCCAAAGAGAGCTGCTCAGATCTCAGTTACCAAGTAAGCTACGCTCTACACGTTGACCCACCCGCCCAAACCAACAGAAACCATAGCCACAGGTATTGTGGAGGTCGCTGTTGGTGATACTCTGGAGAGGTGGCATTGTCTCTGTGGCTCCAACGCGTCTGTGTTGGCGAATTTCAGGCGAGCAGATTTCGACTAAGTACTTCGGCTGGGGAGGGTCAGCCGCGCGTGCTAAAATATGAGGTTGCTCCCATCATGCATTTATCTTTGTCTCCTGTCAGTGATTGAGTGGCTTGCTTAATCCTGTTGCCTTCGGCGCTCCGCCTCCCTTCCCGTTCTCTTGGGGAGCCGCCCTTTTTGGCCCTCTGCGCTGGGAGAACGATACATATATATATATATATATACATATACACACACCTATACGACCACCCTGCGGGTGATAAGGGGGGCCTGCAATGGGCAACACTGGTGATTGTTACGGTGCCGCTCGCTCTTGGGACCATCGATCCCACTATCGATCTCACTCGATCGATCTCACTATCGATCTCACTCGATCGATTTCACTGTCGATCTCACTCTGGATCTCGCTATCGATCCCACTATCGATCTCCCTATCGATATCACTCGATCTCACAATCGATCTCACTATTCATCTCACTATCGATCTCACTATCGATCTCACGACCGATCTCACTATCGGTCTCAGAGTCTCATTATCGATCTCACAATCGATCTCGCCATCGGTCTCACCATCGTTTTCTGGCTTGATTTAGGGCGGGGTTTTCGGACTCAACCGACTCAACCTGTTTTTGCATCATCGTCATCATCATCGTCATCATCGTCGTCATGATATTCATCATCGTCCGCCCTGGGCCGACGACGATTGTAATGATGGTGGTTATCAAATCGTAGTGCTGATGGTGGTGGCGATGGTGATGGTAATGATGGTGGTGCTCATCACATCCAGAATCACCATCATCACCCTCGCCATCATCACCATCACAACCGCCCTCACCATACCATCATCACCATCCCCATCATCATCATCACCATCCATACCATCAGCATGTTCCAATATGTTAGAGCTCCGTGGGAGCTCTAACATGGCTTGTTAGGGCTCCAACGGAGCTCTAACATAGCATGTTCGAGTATGTTAGAGCTCCCTGGGAGCTCTAACATGGTATGTTAGAGCTCCGTGGGAGCTCTAACATGGTATGTTAGAGCTCCAACGGAGCTCTAACATAGCATGTTCCAGTATATTAGAGCTCCCTGGGAGCTCTAACATGGGATGTTAGAGCTCCCATGTTAGAGCTCCCTGGGAACTCTAACATACCGAGCTCCAACGGAGCTTTAACATATCATGTTAGAGCTCCGTGGGAGCTCCCTGGGAGCTCTAACATGGCATGTTAGAGCTCCCTGGGAGCTCTAACATGGTATGTTAGAGCTCCGTGGGAGCTCTACCATGGCATGTTAGAGCCCCAACGGAGCTCTAACATAGCATGTTCCAGTATGTTAGAGCTCCCTGGGAGCTCTAACATGGCATGGTAGGAGCCCCGTGGGAGCTCGAACATGGCTTGGTGGAGCACCAACGCAGCTCCAACATAGCATGTTCCAGTATGTTAGAGCTCCCAGGGAGCTCTAACATGGTTTTTTTCGTATGTTAAGGACTCCGTGGGCGCTCTAACATGGCTTGATTAGATGCTCCAACGGATCTCAACATAGCATGTTCGAGTACGTTATGAGGCCCCCAGGGAGCTCTAACATGCTATATTAGAGCTCCCATGTTAGAGCTCCCTGGGAGCTCTAACATACCGAGCTCCAACGGAGCTTTAACATAGCATGTTAGAGCTCAGTGGGAGCTCTCTGGGAGCTCTAGCATGGTATGTTAGAGCTCCGTGGGGCTCTAACATGGCATGTTAGAGCTCCAACGGAGCTCTAACATAGCATGTTCCAGTATGTTAGAGCTCCCTGGGAGCTCTAACATGGTATGTTAGAGCTCCGTGGGAGCTCTAACATGGCTTGTTAGAGCTCCAACGGAGCTCTAACATAGCATGTTCGAGTATGTTAGAGCTCCCATGGGAGCTCTAACATGCTATATTAGAGCTCCCATGTTAGAGCTCCCTGGGAGCTCTAAAATACCGAGCTCCAACGGAGCTTTAACATAGCATGTTAGAGCTCAGTGGGAGCTCCCTGGGAGCTCTAACATGGTATGTTAGAGCTCCAAACGGATCTCGAACATAGCATGTTCCAGTATGTTAGAGCTCCCTGGGAGCTCTAACGTGGTATGCTAGAGCTCCGTGGGAGCTCTACATGGCTTGTTAGGCCCCAACGGAGCCCTAACATAGCATGTTCGCGTATGTTAGAGCCCCTGGGAGCTCTACATGCTATATTAGAGCTCCTTGTTAGAGCTCCCGGGAGTCTGAAATTACCGAGCTCCAACGGAGCTCTAACATAGCATATGTTCGAGTATGTTAGAGCTCCCTGGGAGCTCTAACATGCTATATTAGAGCTCCCATGTTAGAGCTCCCTGGGAGCTCTAAAATACCGAGCTCCAACGAGCTTTAACACAGCAAGTTAGAGCTCAGTGGGAGCTCCCTGGGAGCTCTAACATGGTATGTTAGAGCTCCAACGGAGCTCTAACATAGCATGTTCGAGTATGTTAGAGCTCCCTGGGAGCTCTAACATGGTATGTTAGAGCTCCGCGGGAGCTCTAACATGGCATATTAGATCTCCAACGGAGCTCTAACATAGCATGTTCCAGTATGTTCGAGCTCCCTGGGAGCTCTAACATGGTATGTTAGAGCTCCGTGGGAGCTCTAGCATGGCTTGTTCGAGCTCCAACGGAGCTCTAACATAGCATGTTTTTTTTCCAAGGAAGCTCCCCTCATCGAGTCGCCAACGAATGAGACACTACAGTGCAACCAAACATGACTAACATGTAAAGTAATTGAGACAGCATACCTCGAAACATGGCTATACATCAAAGCGCAGACGCTTCTTTTTATGCACGGGGCGTATGCCCGCAACAACTTGCACGGCAAATTCGGCTGCGACGATTTCCGCCTGGAAGGCCGAGACGGCCTCATTCAGAAAAAGACCACGGTAGCCAATCACAGCCCTATCGAATGGCGGATTGGGTGCAATTGCCACCACGACGACGCCACAGGATCCGAGACCCGCAGAGAAGCCGCCATCAGAAAAGACTTGGAGGTGCCATCCCGCCTCCACTTTTTCCGCAAACTCCTGGGGATCTAATTTGTCGACCCCTTCCCGGCGGCTCAACACGATATGGCAAACCATATCAGCTGCTTGGTTAAATTCTCGTGGCCGCCAATCGTGCGAGGGTAAGAACCCCGCTTTGTGGCGAAATGCCGTCTTGTACAGATTCTAACACGTATTCCGGGCGCGTGAAACAAGCGGCCTGTAGAAGTCACTGCTACAGCGCACTTCCGAATTCAACAACCCTGCAACAGTTTTGTTGTCAACGACGAACTCCAATTGGCATGGTGCGTTCGCAGTCCAAAGGCTATCCCGCTTCATCTGGCGTGGCATTTCGACGTTTTCGTGCCTCCCCCATTGATGCATTCGGATTCTCGATTCGAGATCCCCCCTGGAGACACCACGCCAGAAGCTGCCTCCGATCCCTGGAGCACAACACCGGTGCGTCATAAGCGAATTCGTCCCGCTGCGCGGCCAGGCTCTGTCAGAGCACCATAGGCCTCGCTGTAGAGATCGACCGGAAAGCTGCGCCGCTGGGCTGTCCAGCGCAGTCGCACCCGATTGAGATCGCTGGAAACGCTGCTGGGAGAACAAAGCCCGACACAGCGCTCGCGGCTGCGAAGACCTGAGACTCGCACAGCAGATTCAAAAAAGAACGCATGCGAGAACGGGACCCCAGCGTGGGGGATCTGGGAACCCAGACCCCCGACGTCAGGACTGTTCACAATGCGGACCCCCAGACCGCTCGACACCTGCCCCGGGACAGGCGCTTTTGTCTAACATAGCATGTTAGAGCTCCCAGGGAGCTCTAACATACTCTAACTTGCTATATTAGAGCCCCCCTGGGAGCTCTAACATAGCATGTTAGAGCTCCCACGTAGCTCTAACATACGATGTTAGCTAAGTTAGAGTTCCATTGGAGCTCTAACATACGATGTTAGATCTCCCAGGGAGCTCTAACATGCCATGTCAGAGCTCCCACGGAGCTCTAACATACCATGTTAGAGCTCCATTGGAGCTCTAATATAGCATGTTAGAGCTCCCTGGGAGCTATAACATGGTATCACGTGCCATGTTAGAGCTCCCAGGGTGCTCTTACATGGCATGTTGGAGCTCCCTGGGAGCTCTAACATAGCATGTTAGAGCTCCCTGGGAGCTATAACATGGTATCACGTGCCATGTTAGAGCTCCCAGGGAGCTCTAACATGGCATGTTAGAGCTCCCTGGGATCTCAAACAAGCTATGTTAGATCTCCCTGGGAGCTCTAACATAGGATGTTAGAGCTCCCGTGGAGCTCTAACATGCTATGTTAGAGCTCCCGTGGAACTCTATCATGGCATGTTATCATCTCCCATGGAGCTCTAACATGCTATGTGAGAGCTCCCACGGAGCTGTATACTCCCTAACGATCAGATGGAGCGCAGAAGCAGCCAGAACACATGGCACCGCATGACCCCCAGACCCCCGAACCTGTGCATATCAGATAGAGCGCGTGTCCTCACCCGAGGACAGTCCAGAGGGACAGCACAGAGAAAAAACTTCAGATGGCACGCGCTCAAGAGGAGGCAAGGCGGGGGGAAGGCATGGCGCCGCCGCTCGAGACATCCTCGCAACCGCGGCGCCGCCGCTCGAGACATCCTCACAATCGCGGCGCCGCCGCTCGAGACATCCTCGCAGCCGCGGCGCCGCCGCTCGATGCATCCTCGCAACCGCGGCGCCGCCGCTCGAAACATCTTCGCAATCGCGGAGCCGCCGCTCGGGACATCCTCGCAACCGCGGCGCCGCCGCTCGGGGCATCCTCGCAACCGCGGCGCCGCCGCTCGGGACATCCTCACAACCGGCGTGGATGAAGGCGATGAGGAGGAGGAGGAGGAGGAGGGGGAGAGAGAGGAGAAAGAGGAGGAGGAAGAGGAGGAGGAGGTGGAGGAGGAGGAGGAGGAGGAGGAGGGGAGCGGGCCAGACAGATAGCACACGCCTGGGCCCTCCTGGGCCCCCTTGGGCCCAGGAGAGGCGCCCACAACCGCGGCGCCGCCATTCGACACATCCTCGCAACCGCGGCGCCGCCGCTCGAGACATCCCCACGACCACGGCGCCGCGGCCTCCCCAGGGGCGCGCACCAGGCAGATAATTAGCACACTACCCTGGGGGGGGAAGGCGAGGGGCGGGATGGCGCCGCTGCTCGGGGCATCCTCGCAAACGCGGCGCCGCCGCTCGGGGCATCCACGCAACCGCGGCGCCGCCGCTCGAGACATCCTCACGACCGCGGCGCCGCCGCTCGAGACATCCTCACAATCGCGGCGCCGCCGCTCGAGACATCCTCGCAGCCGCGGCGCCGCCGCTCGATACATCCTCGCAACCGCGGCGCCGCCGCTCGAGACATCCCCACAACCGCGGCGCCGCCGTTCGACACATCCTCGCAACCGCGGCGCCGCCGCTCGGGGCATCCTCGCAACCGCGGCGCCGCGGCCTCCCCAGGGGCGCGCACCAGGCAGATAGCACACTGCCCTGGGGGGGGGGAGGCGGGGGGGCGGGATGGCGCCGCCGCTCGGGGCATCCTCGCAACCGCGGCGCCGCCGCTCGGGGCATCCACGCAACCGCGGCGCCGCCGCTCGAGACATCCTCACGACCGCGGCGCCGCCGCTCGACACATCCTCGCAACTGCGGCGCCGCCGCTCGAGACATCCTCACAACCGCGGCGCCGCCGCTCGAAGTATCCTCGTCCTCCTCATGCTGCTCTCGTGCTCCTCGTGAACATCACCCTCCTCCTCCTCCTCCACCTCCTCCTCCTAAGAAGCCCTCCCCTACCCACGGGAGCACCAGGCAGATAGCACACTGCCCCGGGGGTGGCCGGGGGGGCAGCGAGGCCAGGGGGCGTGGCCAGATGAGGTAGGGGAGAGCGGGGTGGGCAGGCTCCCCTTTCCCACGGGCGCACCAGGCAGATAGCACACGCCCCGAGGGGGGGCACACATTCTAAGACAAGTTGGAAACGGGCCAGACAGATAGCACTGAGAACATGGCGTTTCGCCCAAACACGCGGGCCAGGCAGATAGCACACGCTGCACGGCTCTTTCGCAAACGCCATGTGACCGTTAGGGAGTATAACATACGATGTTAGAGCCCCCAGGGAGCTCTAACATACTCTAGTATGCTATGTTAGAGCTCCCACTTGGAGCTCTAACATACGATATTAGAGCTTCCAGGAAGCTCTAACATAGCATGTTAGAGCTCCCAGGGAACTCTAACATAATATAACATGCTATGTTAGGGCTCCCTGGGAACTCTAACCCGCCGCCGCCGCCGCCGCCGCCCCTTAACCGTTTCACAATCGATTGCGCAACGGTTAAGACCCCCCCCCCCCTCTCGCCAGGGGGGGGGCTTAACCGTGTCACAATCGATTGCGCAACGGTTAAGGCCCCCCCTGGCGAGAGGGGGGGGCCTTAACCGTTTCACAATCGATTGCGCAATGTTAAGGCCCCCCCCCCTCTCGCCAAGGGGGGGTCTTAACCGTTGCGCGATCGATTGTGAACGGTTAGGCCCCCCCCTCTCGCAGGGGGGGGGGCTTAACCGTGTCACAATCGATTGCGCAATGGTTAAGGCCCCCCCTGGCGAGAGGAGGGGGGCCCGTTGCGCGATCGATCGAATCCTGGTTAAGACCCCCCCCCTCGCGATAGGGGGTCTTAACCGTTCCGCGGTCGATCGCGGAGCAGTTAAGACCCCCTATTTCGCTGGTTAAGCCCCCCCCCCCTGCGCCCCTGGGCAACGAGGGCAAGGGTAGGGACCCAGTGACCCCCCCGTTTTTCCGCCAGCAGCGGTAGAACACGCTCTTTCGAATATGTAGACGTGTATATGTGTCATCCCATGATCCACCGTGACTCTTCATTATTGCGCAGGGCCCCCTGCCGCGAAAGAACAAAGTGGGGTCGGCGGCAGAGGCGGCAGCCTTTCATATTCGCCAGGGGAGGACGTGGCACTGAATTTGACGGGCATAGCTTTTCAGAGGGCAGTGTAGCTTAAAACGTGGCAGGTCTGCTGCTGTGGCTCAAATCACTGCTTCAAACAAGCCGACCTAACGCCTGCCATTTTTAGCAGCGTGCTCTAAAGCCCGCACGACCTCATAATCATCCTTCAACGCGCTTTGCAGGATATGCTTCCCCTTGTCACTGAGGTATGTTTCGTGTTGGAAGGGGTATTGACCCTTGTCATGCGGAATTTCGGCGGGCGCTGCCCACCCCAAACGCCCAAACACATCCTTGAGATCGTGAGAAATCGTCTCGGAGCGAATCAAATACACCTCTTGTGCGAGAACGCACTCGAGATCGTGTTCAAAATAATAGCGAAAGCCTTTACCAACGTGCTCAGACATGATTGGCTTCTCAAACGCTCGGCGGGCAATGCTACCGCAATCGCTCTGGTCCTGCAACGACTCCGCAAAGTCGTTGACTTTTCGGAAGCATCGATAGAACTCCTGCTCTTGTTTATCTTGCTGGAAACCTGCCTGCCCGTGCGGCGAATCTCCGTTTAGGGGGTTCCTCCAATTGAAAGCAGATACACCACGAGCAAGCGGGTCTCGAACAGAAACAATCCACGTGCGTTGCTTGTCTGCGCGGCAATTGTCGACCTGCCGAATGTGAATCTCATGGTAAGGGGTTTGCTTGTAGATGGCCATACCAATTGAACTGCCTGCGCACTTGCCAACATGCACAAACTGCACAAGCTCATTATAGTGTCGCAATGACTCGTTATGTTGCCTTTGACGGCACCCAGAAACAATACGTCTCCAGTCTTCAGCATTCAAGCTTCCATCGTCCCAATCGGGCCCCCCACTTTCGATATCATCACACTCGGGATATTTTCATAGATGGGTCAGAAAATTCATAGAAAATGCTCGTGGGTCTCGTGGGTCAGAAAATTCATAGGTCAGAAAATTCATAGATGGGTCGGAAAATTCCACGATTTTATGTCGTGGGTCAGAAAATTCATAGGTCAGAAAATTCATAGATGGGTCGGGAAATTCCACGATTATCTCGTGGGTCAGAAAATTCATAGATGCCCACGCCGTGCTCTGAGTCGAAAGTGAGCCTGGGAACTCAAATAGCACCCGATTCCATGATAGACATCGGATGGCAAATAGCGTCCATCACTCTGCTGTGATAGTTCTAGTATGAGGGGTGGACGGATAAGATAGGATAAGATCGATGTAATGATCTTTCCAGCACATAGCGGACACTCGCGGTGTCCGGGCAAATCGGGCGCGCGTGCCTTGGGCCAAAGGCAACGGCGCGCGCGAGCTATGCTCCCGATACTGTAACATCCCCCAAAGACCTACCCTTAAAGTCGGGAGGGGAGGA